CACACACACACACACACACACACATATACACACGCACGCAAGCACGCGCAATAATCATCCCTAACGGAGGCAAAGCATTACAAAGTGATAAAAATGTTTTTATTTCATTACTGATTTAAAACGGATTTGTAAAAAACGCACCCTGTATGCACCGTTTTGCAGCTTCTTGTAAGGTCTAAAACTGCGTCTAGTTTGTTTAAGAAGATTCACAGCATTATTTCTGAGGCAGCTATTCAAAAATTTAGAGCGCGTACATGGCAATGTTGTATGCACGTTGTTAGTTATGAGGCAGTCGCTTTAATCCCTTGAACGTCCTAGCAGCTGGTTTAGAACGAGAATGTGGTACATCGTGGTGTAATTACTTTGGAATCACACTTATTTCCTCGGCTGCTGCGTCCTTCGTGAACAGCTTGTAAACATGGTAGAGTACGCAGAACAGGTCTTCTTTCACGTCTTCCTTATTTCTTATAGTCCTTTTTGCGCACGAGGACAGTTTTCGACCACCAATGTCCTTCCTTCAGTTAAGTACCAACTAAACCGATTACGGAGAGTTTTTCAAATTTCTTACTTTTCAGATCTGACGAGTCTGATGTTAATGCAGTCATTATCGGAGATTTTCTTTATCTGAAAGGCTGCATACCTTAATATAAGAGCGATCCGCTTCCGCTCTCCATGCAGCTAGTTACAGATGAAGAAATGCACGCAGATTATACGAAAATATTTGCGTGGAATTTTTTAAGCATGCCTGCTCGATCCGTATCCACTTTTGTTTTTAAGCGCCGCCACTGTAGGATGATATAGCAATAATTCTCTTCTGCATTTAAATATGTTCTGCTTCTTCTGAATCGCTTCTGCCTTTCACCGCTGGCTGTAGTCTTCGAGATCATTCATCATCTGTTGGATGTGTTTGAGAATGGATACTACACGTCCTCAGGTTCTATCGCTTCTCATTTCTTCTCTATTCTAATAGTATTTTCGTAACTGTGAAAATCTTCGAAATTGACCGTCGAAGTTGAGCGCATTCAGTTCGTTCTTCCCACTCAAGAAGCTTATTGACGAGGCTTTTGTAGTGCCAGTCAATATTCGCTGTCACAGCCTAGTCGGTATTTCTAACCTGTCTCTTCATCTTTAGATCATCGATTTTTCGAGACTTATTACACTATCTTTTGGCGTACAGTATTACTTTCCTTCACGAACTGGACGGTAACCACTTCTCACACTGCGTAACATGTGTTGAACGGCTTCCGAACCGAAGGAAGATACTACGGAAACGTGTTTGAAAATGCGCCATGCATCAGTCAAGACACAGCCGATTTCGTTCTGCTTTTTCGCGTCTGGCGCAATGTCATATCTCCTTCTACCATATCTATCAAAGTACTTTTCTTCGTCTCTCCTTCCACGCTCAAGCTCTGCGCTGAAGCCTTCCACGACGACCACTTATGTAGGCAGTTTCGACGACTTTGTTATATGCACACTATTAGGGTAAACATATTTTACATCAGCTTACCTTCATACTTACATACTTATCTTTTATCTTTACCTATAATAGTTCCAATAACAGGATAACTAATTAAAATCAAATTCATACTAACTACCACAATCGTCGTACTGAGGAGGTCCAACTGTGGTAATAGTAAGAAATGTATACGACTTAATGAACCGAAACATTTTTTACCATTATAATATTTTACAATACATTTCAAGTTTTTACTAACTGCTTAACACCACTAGCTTCTTCTTCCTACATTAAAAAATTTTATTATGTTTAACAACAGTTAAAATTTTGCTTTAGAAGGCGGTGCAGCCTTGCGAACGCTTATCAGTCCATAAAAAAACCCGGCATCAGAAAATCATTCAAAAATATACTGAAGCAGTTCTGAATAAATGTGTGGTTTTCCCTGGTTTTCAACATCATCCAATTTTAGTAAAGGTCGAGGTGGGAGCAGCGGAACAGTGACGGTGAATAGGTTCCGTAAATAATTAAAAAACCAGCAGTTTTTCTGATTATCGGAGCAGCCACTTAGCACTTATTGTTTTAGATTTTCCACAACTGCGTAGGAATGGAAGCATCTCATTTGTCCAATACAAGGTTCTCCCTGGTAGCTGGAAAACCGCTTCGACCGCAACAAAGCGGCGCAGCGGATGATGGGTGAAAGAGAGGGGGGAAGGAATGGTTGAGGTCCAGTACCCAGAGCAGACAATGTTGCCGTCTCATTGTAGAACATAAATCTTGTGCTCAGATGTGCACAAAAGTCTGCACTGAAAGCTGTAACTCCGACAAGAAAAAGCACCCGACACTGTCTTTACAACGCTTTTCTGAAGCTCGAGATATTTACAAGTTTCTTTTTAGCGTACAGCCTGTTTTAGCATAGAAATTCAAAAAAAGGCAAGTGCTTGTGACAACTTAAAACGCACGAGGTCGTCTGAGATTGATCCATAAGCTGACTGCATCACAGATACCTATGATCAGAGAATAAGTATTTTTACACCGATAAAATGAACTGATTTGAAATAACGGAAAAGCCTCAAATCAATTGCGGAAGACATGGAGGAGAAGTCCTAGCTGTGCCTGAAAATCTGGCAGTTGCTCGGCTTTGACTGCGACAAGTTAAAAAAAAAATTGTCAATCAGACACTGCTCAAATGCCGCCCTAAACCAAAAACATTTCGATGTGCAAAACGATCAAAATTAACAGGACAGAACTAGGAAAATCCAGAGCTGGGATTCTAAACTTCTCTGCGAATGCCGAAAATCCATTCAGCCACATTCTCAAAGCAATACAGTCCCGCTGAGCTGCTAGCATAGGAAGTTTTAGTGGGAAAATCAACAATTTATAGAGCATAATGAATACGTTGTGCTCCTGGTTTGGCTTTTCAGCATTCAAGCTGCTTCTCGAAATCTCACTGCAGAATTGCACAAAACGAGTAGTTGTTGAAGGATACATAAAAGCGAGCTTCGAGTTTTCATTTGTTTCAAAAACGCTCTCACTGGTCAGTCTTCTTATCACGGACATTTGTAATTAATTCATCAAATACAGCATTGCCTATTTGACAAAGAGTAGTATCTTTTGCGCCTCAGGGAAGTTAGACTCGCAACGGCTGAATGAAAAACGCGGGAAACGGGGATCGAGAGGCTCTGAGTTAAGCTGAAGAAGAGAAAAAATTTAGCAGAGAAGACAACCAAAGTGGTTGAGAGATGAAATTTTTTAATATTTTCTTAAAAGGCAAAAACATGTACGTGGGTCAAATCTAGGTGCATTTAATGAAAGAAGCCTCCTGCTACCACAAGATATTCGCATTTCCAAGAAAGGCACAGCCAAACTGCAGGCGTTTCGCGCTGCTAGTTTAAAGGGATACTAAGACACAGTTGCAGCTGCATTAGCGGCTTTGTGACAACTTCAAATGTTCTGTCAGTATGTGAAAGAAAAATGAAGGCGCAAAGTACCAAATCAAAGCGCTGGTACTTTGCAGCTATCCGCAGGAATTACAACTCCTACACAATATTACCTATCGGTTGCCTGACGTGCAAATCAACAACACACACCGCACGAAAAAAGGGTAGCAACTGGACAGTTGCGTACCAGTAGTGCTCTTCAGTTTTAATATATGCGGATATTTTGGAACTTTAAAGGAGTCGAAAAGCTGTGCTAGCTGTGGTGCAAAGGAAGGGTGGCGACTTCAACAAGCTGCCTCAATCGAACTACTAACTAAGGCTTTAAGACTATATTTTTAACACCACTGCATTTCAGCGCACAAATA